ACTTGTTTTGCTGATTGGTGAAGCAGAAGTCCGAGAGGAAGGCGCTGGATTCGTCGATGAAACACGAAACAAACCTACTATAATGAAGTGCAAGGCCACATAGAAGGTATATCCAAATTGCAGAATCTGCCACGCCCAGTCCGGGATTCGTACTGGGGTCGGTGGGTGTGACGAGCCTTTCAGCAGCTCCTCTCGCGACGAGATTAAGCCGTACTCGTGTAATCGGGAGCGCTGACGGAACTGAGCTGTGGTTGCATCCTCCTTGCGACTGTCGCGTCCAGCATTGTCTACCAGTTTTGTGATACTCTCCAGTATGAAACACCCGTCACTCATTTTCCCGGCCACTCCATTGCCCAGAATAAGATCTGCCATGATATCGCATAACAAGGTCCGTAGACAGACGTTCTCAAGAACTTCCGTTGGGAGAAGAATCGCAAGCGCTCCTTGTACCAGCAATTGCCTGTATATGGATTCGGCTTCTTGTTGTCTTGTCATGCTCTGGGCATCTGACGGGCTCGGAACTGGTGAAAGACCTGGGTGAGAATTCAAGGAATGATATATCTCGCGAAGTGATGGCGATAGTTCGCACAAGTCCGACTGCTGTTTGGCTAGCCTGTAAGCTGCATCAGGCCATCGATCGAATCAGCCCTGAACCGCCAATATACAAAATCAATCAAGGTAGCAAAATGCAACCACACTTACAAATGATATGCGTCTCTACCAGTGCTGGAACCTCATCGAGTACTAGCTGTGCGATGTCGGTTCCGCGCACCCTCTGCTCGAGCGCCCTGGTGCAGTGCGCAATAACCTGTATGAGTTCGTTGATGAAGACCTGATCCGCCGTGATTTTTGAGTACCAAGAAAGGACAAACTCCTTGACCACTATGGCAATTAAGGCGTAGAGTTGAAGATCGAGTTCGTTTGAGCTTGTCAAAGGGGGTAGCAAGTCTTCTAAAGGTGGAGGCGTGGAAGCACCGCCATGGGTACCCGGCTGCGGACACAGAACGCGTCGGATCAGAGCAATAGTTGCCTTTTCGCTTGTGGAACTAAGCGTCTCATCACGACTAGGTCCTTTAGATGGTTGAGGGCGAGTAGGTCTGGGTGATGATGGCTGCGACAATAGCGAGGAAGCTGACAAGGCTGTCGACTTGGAGCTAGAGGTTGTCGGACTAGCCTTAAGTTGCGACAGCGGATGGAGACCCGGGCGGAGAGGGTCGGTGGTCATTTCATCGCCAGTGAAGAAGCAATGCCGGATCGCTGAGATTCAATATTATATTGTAAGTTTCTGAGGCACAAGGCTCCATCAGCTAATGCCAGCGCGTGATGGAGAATGAAGTTGATGAAGCAACTGCGACAGCCGGAGGGGAATGACCTACCTATGCCGCCGCTATTCCCTAATATAGAAGGTAGGGCTTAGGGCTACTGGTGCCCGCGATAAGGCTTATCGCCGCCGCATTGCTTATCGCAAAGTCCCCGCATCCCACCCCCGTTGTGGTTCATCTTCTTCATCCCGCAAATTAATCCTACTGAGTCACTGCCTGAGCTTTTGGCTATTCCTCAAGTAACTGATTACCTCAATGGCTTCCTCAAAAGATACCCCAATTCCTTTGTGGCTAGACTGTGACCCCGGTAAGCAGTTCTTCTCCCATTTCGCAACATACTGCAGACCTTCCTTCAACGCCTGTATGGCCAAGTTGACTGACAAGTGTTTATAGGTCACGATGTAAGTGCAAAGACGCCCGACATCTTACAATGCAGAATATATAACTCATTCACTCTCCGGTGAACGTGCTCAGGACGCTTTTGCCATTCTTCTTGCTGCGCATCATCCCTCGTTGAAGCTTCTCGGTATCACTACCATCCATGGCAACTCCTCCCTAGACAATACCACAGTCAACGCTACCAGGGTTCTGGAAGCTATCGGCCGTTCAGACATTCCTGTTTATCCTGGAACCAGAAAGCCCTTTTGTCGGCCCGCCGTTCATGCACCCAATATCCACGGTAGGTCTAAAATAAGGTTGGCAGGTTATGAGCCTCACAATACTGACTTTAACGCTACTAGGCGACTCTGGCATTGATGGAACAGAGCTTCTCCCCAAAGCCACCACGGCTCCCATCACTGACAAGAACCCCATCCTTGCCATGCGCGACGCCCTCTTGGCTGAGCCCAAGGGAACCCCCTGGGTCATCGCTACCGGCACACTGACCAACGTGGCCCTGCTGTTCGCTACATTTCCTGAAGTGGTCAATCATATTCAAGGACTGAGCATCATGGGAGGGGCTGTGGGTAATGGTTTCACCGATGTCCCTATGAGTAGGATAGAAGGCCAGCACGACCGGATCGGAAATGTGACTCCTTTCGCGGAGTTCAACATCTATGTGCGCATTCCCATTTTATGCCCGCCCTTCTGCTCTGCACTAGCTGATATACTCCCTGCAGTGCGATCCTGAGTCATCTCAGTCCATTTTCAGTAACGCCACACTGGCATCCAAGACGTACTTGATTGCCCTTGATTTGACTCACCAGGTCCTGGCTAGCGAGAAGGTGCGGAACCTCGTCCGCCACGGCGTGGATGATGTCTCCGTTCAGCCCTCGACCCTTCGACAAATGCTGTATGAGCTTCTCATCTTCTTTGCCTCCACCTACGAGAATGTATTTGGATTGGCCTCGGGCCCACCCCTGCACGACCCGCTTGCCGTCGCTATCATTCTGTCGACCCTGAACCCCCTCTACGCACAAAATCACCCCGAAAAGGCGCTGAAGTTTGATGACCGCAATGGTGAGCGTTTCGCTGTTAACGTAGTCACCAACGGTCTTCATTCAAGCAACATGGAGCTGGTTGAGCATCTGGGTCAGACCGTTGCTAAGCCTGCACCAAACGCGGTTTGCATTCCCCGGGGTGTCGATCTTGATGCTTTCTGGAACATGATCAACGATTGTCTTGGACGTGCAGATGAGCTTAACGCTGCGCGGAAGGCTTAATTTGACCTTCCGACTATCGGCATGACTTCATACTGCTCCTCGGAATATAGATGGACATAGAGATTCTGGTGCTAGATTCTTTGCTCGATAGAATTTTCAATTGGAAAGCAGCTTTCGGTTATTTGGAGATGTATCCTCAACTACTTCGATCGATCTATTCTGTTTTTCCCCCTCGTTTCACAATCTATGACATACTACCATTCGCGGATTCCACCATCAGAGCCATAAAACTCCTTCGGCAGCCAGGGCTCTGCATTCGCCGCAACTCGTCTTACCGTCTCTTCATCAACCTCAATCCCCAGCCCCGGTGCCGTGAGAGCGTCTACATATCCATCCTTTACCGCGAACACACCCGCATCCTTGACGTAGCTGGTGATATCGTACTCTCCCGCCTCTGTATTGTAGTGCATGCCCAAACTCATCTCCTGGATGACAAAGTTCGGCGTCGCCAAGTCGACCTGCATGCACGCGCTCAAGGCAATGGGCCCCAGCGGGCAATGTGGCGCAATCGCGACATCGTAGGTCTCCGCCATGGAAGCTATCCGTCTCAGCTCCGAGATGCCACCGCAGTGGGCGATATCGGGCTGCAGAATGTCCACGCTCGCATCCTCTAAGAAGCGCTTCACATCCCAGCGACTGTACAAACGCTCCCCTAGCGCGATCGGACACGAGACCTGGTCGGCGAGCTGTTTGACCGCTTCGGGGTGTTCCGAAAGAAGCGGCTCCTCGAGGAATAAGGGTCGATGCGGCTCAAGTGCCTTGGCCAGCTGCTTCGCCATCGGCTTGTGAAGTCGGCCGTGGAAGTCGAGGGCGGCGTCCAGACCGAGGGCCTTGACAGTCTTCAGACGCTCGACGCTGGAGTCTAGGACGCTGGGGGAATCGAGCCAGTTCACGTCCTCTGTGGCGTTCATCTTGATGGCCTTGAACCCCTGGGCGAGACGGGCCTTGCCGGCGGCTTCTACATCAGAGGGTCGGTCGCCGCCAATCCACGCGTAGACGGATAATTTGTTGCGGACTTTGCCGCCGAGAAGTTGATGAATGGGGACTCCGAGTCGACGGCCCTTCAGGTCCCAGAGAGCGATATCGATTCCCGAAATGGCGGACATGAAGACTGGGCCGCCTCGATAGAAGCCTAAGCGCCAGGACATCTGCCAAATGTGTTCGATGTCACTATGGAGGGGGGTGGTTAGGGTATGCAGCGCTGGCGCTGGTGTAAGAGACTTACTCGGCCTCGTAACCTTGAAAACGCCTGCATAGGGCGTTCAAAGTGCCCTCCACGGCCTCGGTGTGCCCTTCAAGGGTGCTCTCACCCCAGCCATAATTGCCATCTTCATCAACCACCTTGACGAATAGCCAGCGTGGAGGGACACGAAAGTACTCAATTGACTTGATCTTTGCCATGGTGAGTTCTGTGTCTAGACAGACTCTATGTGTGAAGCTGTGATTCAGGTAGTTGCTAAAGAGTTGAATGTTAAGCAGAGGACAACAGAAATAGGCATGGCTGTAAGGAGAGGTCGGAGTTGCTCCGCTTGCCAGGCCGAATTACCGACAAATTGACCCCAAATGGGGTATGGGGACTCCATAGTCATTTCGTGCTGTTCTTGGCATTATTGCATCCGAGGCTCTGGGCTTCAGCGGCCAGAAGATCCATATCAGATCTAGAAGTGTGATATGCTACCCTTAGGGTGCTAATTGGGTTATTGTCTTGCATTAGTCCAAGGATAAGCTTAACCGTGGAAGCTCCTCGAAGATAATCTGCATCCATCGTTATATCGGCTTTGGATACGGAATTGGAATCAAATATGATCATAAGTAGGGGGATTTTGACTATCAGTCAGATGATGATGATGGTGATGGTGATGATGATGATCGGAGAGAGACTCGGTGGATACGAGGGGTAAAGCCAGGTATGTCATAGTGCAGCTCCATGGCTTGTGCCTTGGTGCAGACAGATGAAATATAAATGTAGAACCCAGCCCTGAATGGAGTGGATAGAAGTCATGAACAGATGTAGTGGGGAATGAATTGGAGAAGCCCAACCCAAATGTTGGGGAAAGAGAGAGAAAAGAACCGGATACGGCAATCCAGTGACTCCGGGCGGCTTTGCGACTTGCTCCGCATTCGACTCTGACTTCATCTCCAACAAACAACTCTCTCTCTCTTTCTCTCTCTCTCTCTCTCTCTCCCGCAACTGCAGCGTCATTGCTCCCTTCCTCGATCATATTTCACGACATAGTTTGGAGCACTACTGCCGGAATCTGCGTTGAAAAATAGGCTCGACCCCGCCCAGTGCATGCTCGAGGCTCAACCCAACTTTTCCCCTTTCTGGCGGGCTGCCTTTTCGCCGCCACTCCACTACCACCTGCTTCTCGTCACTCTACCAGATCATGCCCCCGGCCAACTCGCCATCTGTATGTGTGTCTCTATGCGATCTGGTTGATTGTCTGTTATTGCCTGGGTATGGAGAGATGTCCAGTACATGACTCGGTTCGTTGGCCGTCTCGCTCGTGCATACAATCAATGACTGAGCAGCCATTATCATCAGTTGACATCCGGCCCTATCGTGATAACAGATGGGAGTCTTAATCATACAATACTTATCGCAGATAGGAAGCTTTTCTTGGCTAGAATCTAACTTTCGGCACACAGGATCCCTCCTCCCAGTCTTCTTCTGCTTCCTCCTTGCGGCCTGTCCCCGTTCCTGTACCCTCTCTCCCCGCCGCCGTGTCCGATGAAGCCCATGATGATAACGTGAGCTTTTTGCGATCGCGTGTGCGCTCCCCGCCCGACTCATCTTCCTCCCTCAGTCGCCAGCGCCGTGGTCGACTACAAAATCTGATGGAATTCGATCTCGCCCCTTTCGAATCGGAGGACTTCTCGAATCCGCGGATTGAAAGCAATCGTCGCATCCCGATTGTGCGCCGCCAGCGCGACAGTCCAAATACCCACCACAACACGACCTCCAATCCCAACAGCCTGCCGAACTATGAGGGCAGAATGTCGAATCCGCGCTCGCTTTACGGATGGGCGCCCGCTTCTGACGACGACGACGACGATGAGGAAATGAGCTACGAGCCGCTACATGATAGCAATGCCATTTCCTGGTTTGGCCGCTTTTCGGAACGATATACTGCCTTTCGCGATCCACGCCGTGAGGCTGCCGGTCGGAGTCCACCTACAGTGACAGAAGAGCCCACGGAGAACAGCAATCGTTCCTCGAACGAATCACCGTACACCATGGCAGACGCTTTGGTGCAGTCAATACGCCGCCAACCACGCCCCCCACGGACCAGGACTCTGCAGAATTACTTGGTTGAGCGAGAACGTGCAAGTCAAGCAGCAGAGGAACTGAGGGAACGGTCTGGCACCAGTTCCACCTCACGAGCATATCGATTCTTACCCAGCATTCGCAGCGAACCGCACCGACCCCTGACACACAATGATCTTCGCGCTCGAATCAGTGCTCATCGACAGCTACATATGGATAATGCTCCAAGTCCTCGGTTAAAGGAGACAATTCGCTACCTGGACCGGTTACGCTATTCGACCTCGTTCGAGGAAAGCTTGTCGTCAGCCGCCGCCGGAGGTTTCGTTCACCTCGACTTTCTTAATGGGAACGAGGATGATTTTATCATCGACACTGCATCGATCGCACCGCCGCCTGAATGCTCATGGCTCCGGCCTGGTGTGATATTTTCTGGATCGCAACGAGCTGCCAGCAGTGCCGGTGCGTTCTTTACACAGCGAGCTAGTCCGTCATTACCACACGATCCTCTTGTCGTTAACAGCAGTGATGCCAACCGCATCAGCGTGTCCACGAGTACGGGTCGGCGATACATGGCCAACAATATCTACAATATAGGAGCTGTCAAGGATGAAAATTGGCCGGTCAAGGTTACCATTCACAACATCAATCACGAAGACATGACCTTGGCCGGCACCATGGAAGCCTACAACATCCCCGACAAGACGTCCCCGTCCCATGACGCTCATATCATCACATATCTTGAGGGCGAGATCATTGACTTCAACAAACATACCCTGGAGACGAAGAATTTCAAGGCCGACGCCGAGATCGACAGCACGTACTGGCGAGAGCTTCAGCCATTCAAGAACCTGACCGATGAGGAAATGACGCGGAACCTAGTCAGTCGCAAATGGGTCACCGAGGCATTGTCGAAAGGGTGGATCCTGATGAGATGGAAGGGTGAGTGGACTAGTACTTCGGGTTTGTGCCCTTGAAAGAGCGTATTGACGGACTGTCCCAGAGCGATGTTTCATCACCCCGACCGACTCGCGACAAGGCCTGACGATCTCTGGGTTCTATTACATCTCGCTGAACCGCGAAAACGGACATATCGAAGGATTGTATTACGACCCAGGCAGTTCACCGTACCAGCAACTATCATTAAATCCCGAGACACGAAAGATGGTGCGTCCGTCTTACGGATTCCGGTGAGTAGGTTTTGTATTTGAGGTGATATGCGCATAGCCGGTGTTGTTGTCTTCTTTGCAAATAATTGGGGAAACCTGGAGCAATGTCAGAAGCTGTCAAGCTACGTACATATTTTTTTGGGAAATCTAGGACAGGATCTTAGTATGATGCCATTCAACTGTAGAAGTCGATGAAGCCACCCACCACGAACTACTCCCAAGCAAATTCCCTCCTAACCTCACCGATGAAACCACATCCTACAAGAAGAAAAGAGAACCAAAATTTTGAGCACCATAATCTGATTAAATTCCTCAACGGGAGATAGAGATGACCCGCACACCACACCCGCCTAAATACCGACAGATATAGAGAAAAAGACAGGAGATTATTCCCCTTCCCTCCTAGATCAAATGCAACCTGTATAAAACCGAATTCACCCAAGTTGTATCGAACCAGATTTGCGCGGGCCATCACCCCCGGAGTCCGGAAAATTATCCTCAGATCACAGCACTCCACCTACGCCCCCCCTACTGGGCGCGCTGCCACCTCCAAGGATGTCAGTTTCAAATGCATACAACAGAATGTATACATTTACTGCTCAGTCTGGAAGTAGTTAAGGAGGACGGAGCGCTCCTGGGACTCCTCTCCCCAGTCCTTAACGACAACGCAAGAGCAGTTGACGACCTTGCGGGCGTTACCCTCACGGTCGAGCTGGCCTGTTCACACAAACAGAAGTATTAACAAAAAGAAAAAAAAAAAAAAAAAAGCTCTTCAGATAACGTCCAAGCAAGGCGTTGCACGACATAGGAAAAAGGGACAACGTACAAAGACCAACCCACTCGCCGAGGAGCTTTCCATCGGGGACCTTGATGAGGGGGATCTTGTGCTCGGAGCACAGAGCGACGACGAGCTTCTTGTAGGCCTCCTCCTCGCAGCCCTCGTTCAGGACACACATGTGAGCCTGGCGACGGTCGAGGGCCTTGGCGGCCTCGCGCAGACCACGGGCAAGACCGTCGTGGATCAGCGAGATGCGGAGGACACCCTTGAGGGCGTCGAGGACGGACATCTGACCGCCGGCACCGGCGTCAGCCGAAACCTCGACCTCATCGGCAGCGACGGGGGGGTTGGATTGGGTCTCTTCTCCGTCCGACTAGATTTTTTTTCATGGCATTGTGTTAGTTGAGCTTTGGCTTTTGGGTTACGGATTGTGCCTTCGTGGAAAGGGAGGGATCCAGTCAACGGGTCCAGGTGCATATCGAAACTCACCATTTTGTATGTTGTGTAGTTAGACTGGTCTGTCGGATTATCCTCAAAGAGTTCGAGGTGGTTGTTCTTGTATAGGCTAGTGGTGGTGGTGGTGCGGCCAATTTTGCGCTGCGCTCGCCTAAATGTGTGCCCTATAAGGGTTACGTAAGAAATAATCACGTGACTGGTGATATGATGTGGGGTCGGATGGTGAATCCCGCTAGTCCCGGAACGGAACCTTGTTGGTGGCAGGTGGATGGTACTGGACCCTACTAGGTAGCATACAATTGGTAAAGAATCTCGGGATATCATGATATCACGCTATCCAAGCATAACACATCAGGTATCATAGTCGTACATCAAGTTTTCACCTGTACAAGCTAGCGCCAAGCTAAATGATCGCTGAAGCTGAAAGAACAATTAGACGTATGTACTAGGCCGGCTGTGCCCATAGCCATTAGTCAACCCGTTTCCTCCTAGTAACCCGGGGCCTTCCTCAATATGTGGCCCCGAGATATGTCCATTGGCCTGCGGCAATTCGAAAGCAGGTTGCGTCTTAGGCTCTTGATCAATGTGCATCTTGAGCAACTGAATGTCAAGCCCGTGAAGGTGCGGAATGTGGGGGACGAGATCCATGAAATCGGAGAGCTGCTGTAGTTAGCAACTAGTAAGCCAGCAAGATGCATCAAGGGAGCTTACCTTCAGCCAAAATACATGCTCCATGTCGAAGTACTTAGGCCGTGCTTCGCTATCCCGTTGCATGATCTGTCCGAATGACGAACTGAGAAATTCGGTCTCGTCTGCTTCAACAAGCATCCTTCGCGTGACTCGCCACAGATTCGTCCGCTGGGTAGGAGTTGCGACGCGCTTCTCCCAACTGGCATATTGCGATAGTTGAAGATCGTTCGTCGCCAGCAAGGGTGCAACCAGGTAGTTCGGAATCCATCGATCCTCTGCCACTTCCGAGGCGCAAGACGGGTCGAGTTGTCTTGTCTCAGCGGTCACAACAGGCATGAACTTCCGCAGCCATGCATGGCTCTTAGCTTGCGGATCATCGGATCCAACAAGGTTGGCTGCAACTCGAAGTCGGCTGGGTAGAGCGTCTCGTCGACGCTGTTCTTGTTCTTCCTGCTCTTTGCGCAGTTTGGCGAGTCGCTGTCGTTCCTGTTCAAGCCGCTTCTGTCGCTCTTCTTCAGCCTGTTTCATTCGCCGCTGCTCTGCCTCCTCTTTCCGCTTCCGCTCTTCCTCTGCAGCCTTTTCCGCGGCTTTCTCTTGGGCAATGCGGGCCTCCCGCGCTGCGCGTTCCTGCTCTTCTTTTTTCAGGCGGGCTTTTTCCGCTTCAGCAGCAAGGCGTGCTTCTTCCTCGTCGCGAGCTTGCCTCTCTCGCTGAGCTTGCTTCTCTTGAGCTAGCTTCTCTTGAGCTAGCTTCTCTTGAGCTAGTTTCTCTTGAACTAGTTTCTCTTGAGCTAGTTTCTCTTGAGCTAGTTTCTCTTGAGCTAGTTTCTCTTGAGCTAGTTTCTCTTGAGCTAGTTTCTCTTGAGCTAGTTTCTCTTGGGCTAGTTTCTCTTGAGCTAGTTTCTCCTGAGCTAGCTTCTCTAGAGCTTGTTTCTCCTGAGCGTGCTTTTCCCGGAGCGCAGCCGCTTCAGCCTCAGCCTGAGCAAGACTGATCGAATCATCCATTGGGATATCCTCGAGTTCAAGAGTGTCAGGCTTCTCTTGCTCCTCCTTTACCTGCTTTCTTTCGACAGCCTTGGCGGAGAGATCTCGTTCCCGCGATTGATCTCGCCGAGGTTGAGGTGCAATATGGCTATCATCTTTGCGACGAGGAAGCTTCAGATCCTCCACAGCAGGGTGACTCCTCTTGGGGTTTCCGTTGGTGATGTTGGGCGATCCATCTTCCGACAGTACTCGTCGCTTCTTCTTTAAGACTTCGCGAGGGTTCCGATCAGCGTCGGAACCGCGAGACCTAGGTCGCTCGGGACTGACGCTGCTGCGTCCACGCTTCACGGGAGGCGGTCCAGGCTTGGTCGTGACGAGTTCTGAATGATCAGGGCGTGATTTAGGAGCTTCCTCACGGCCGGACATGGAATCTGAAGAAGGAATGCTAGGCCTCCTGCGATCGCGATCAGGTGGCCGTCCTGCAATCAAGCGTCTTCTCTTGGGAGGCTCTTCGCCCCGACTAGAGTCTCCATCCTTGGTCAACACTACCTTCGACCTGGGTATATCGGAACGAGGACCGTCGTGATCAGGCGTGGCAACGTGTCCCACCTTGGCACGAGGAGGGCCAGGCTTCTCTTTCGTGTGCATCATCGCTTCTCGTTTGCGCTCTTTCATGGGTGCATCTTTGGATGAGTCCCGACGAACTGGACTTCCAAGCTGTTTCCGATGCTTGCCCCCTGGGGAGGGAGAGTCTTTCCGTCCAGATCGCTTGGACTCGCGGTCCTTGTCACGTACCCTCCTCGGAGATGAGATGTCGCTTTTACGCTGCTTCCTGTTCCGTACATAGTTGTCATAGGCGTCGCGAAGAAGATCATATTCTTCCTCCCAGTTGTCCGCTCTGCGTTCTCGAGATAACTCAAAATAAGTGCGATCCTTATATAGTCGTCGCGAGGGGTTGAAGCTGGGTTGGTCGAGCAGAAGTTTGATCACGGGAAGATTGCCTCTTCCGATCGCAGCCAGCATAGGCGTGTTGTATCCAAACTTGTGGGAGCCGCCCTGGACTGGATCCGGGTCCGGATCGGCATCTCCCATTCCCAGCAGAAGAGACAAGACTTCATCGTGACCACCCTTGGCCGCTGCGATCATCGACTCGGCATCTGCCCGTTGGCCGACATTGAGAATGTTAGCAACACCAGCGATATCACCCTTGGCGGCGAAGGCTTGTAGATTCTCTGGCGTAGCTTTGGTCCATAACAAATCATTCCGGGTGGCCTCGCTTCTGACGCTCTTGCGTTTGTTCGTACTGGCAAAGTAGGGCGGGCTGCGTTGTCCGTTTACCGGGGGTGATTCTCGAGGGCTAGCCACCGTCACTCGCCGCGAAGACGTCTCCCTGGTGCCAGATCCAGTCTGTTCCTCAGAGCGACGGCTGGGGCGTGGATGCGCTTTTGCTTCCTCCAACACACGACGAATCTCATCGTAATCTTCCGAGTCTGACGGAATGAGATCGCTTGGCTCATCGCCTTCAGCATTGACGGAACGCGGATTTGCACCAGCCTGGAGCAACAACTTGACAACATCGAGATGGCCATTTTCAACGGCGTCTATCAACGGAGTATCACGATCGATATTTCGGGTCTCGACTTCACATCCGGCTTCGAGGAGGAACTTCACAATGGACGCGCAGCCTTCCAAGGCGGCGATTTGAAGTGGCGTGTTACCAGCATTGTCGGCGACATTGAGGTCCTCCGGTCGTTCTGCATGTCGAGCGATTGCCGCCTCAAGTTCCTGTGCAGCACATGCACGAGCGAGGCGAGTGCGTCCATTCTGATCGCGTTGCTTTTTGTGACCCGTGGGTCTGGCAGGGGAAGCAGATGCCCCATCGACAGAGGCCACCTTTCGAATGTGGGCACTGGGCATAGGAGATCCGCTTGTTGAGGAAGACACCGACTGCCGATCTTCGGAACTTTGCCTTTGCACGCCAGGAAGAAGCGGGGTAGGAGCTTTCCGCTTCCGCTGCAAATCGCTACCCAGCTGGTGACCAGAGGCTGTTCTCTTGTGCGAACGGACAGGTGATATGGAACGGTCGATTGACGCGGGGCGGGGCAACATCACACCATTCAGCTCTCGTCGTTCTCGATCCCGGGAAGGAGCTGGGTGGTGCGGGCGAGCGTTTCGACGGACATCTCCCTCCCCGTCGACACTTTCACTAAAGCTGCGTTTTCTCGACGTCCTAGGAACAAAAGATGCAGGGTGCGATGATTCAAGTCGACTCGAAACAGATTGGGGCTCATCGGTCTTTTCGACTTTCACATGGGGTGGTGACCCCGTCCGACGGAGAGGACTCGCCGGGCGCACATGACGGTCGCGTTCACTGATAACGTCGCCATCCACCAACTTTCTCTTTCTCACTTGCAAATCGTTGGGAGGGAGATCGCTCTCTGCCGCATCAACATGGTCATTTCCATCATCACGTCGTTTCGGTTCATGTTTTATGTACTTCCGTCTCTTTTCAGGCGATAATGATTCACGGCCCGATTGGATAATGGTTTCTGCCTCCGAGTCAGCCTTGGGGCTAGGGGGCCCATCACTGTCCCCGACAGCAGGGTCTACCTCTTTGATCGGACGATACTCCCTCCGAGGCACGGGTGAGAGGGCTCTCTTGGGAGATAGCGGACCCGAGGTAGACTGGTGGTTCACCTTGGCAGCAAGACCGTTTTGTCCGGCATCCAGGGAAGCTGGCAGGGAGGAGACAGCCTCGACATCACTCATAGCGGTAGCACTCGATTTCTGGGGGTTCTGCTCGTCATCTTCGGGGGCCGTGGCGGACAGGTAGACCCGTGGTCAAATACACCAGCAGATGCGCGCGAAAGCTGGTGCTCGACCACGCTTGATTTGGAAATCGGTAGGTTGGGTGCTCTCTTCTAGGAAATGAGAATATCGTGAACGAACAAAGAGCGTGGGCGAACAGCAAGGTGGACCTAATAATCCGAAGTAAGAGAGCGAAGCGGAATAGAGGCGAGGTAGTGGTGACGGTGATGAAGAGAGTAACGAGGCGACAGGACGTGAGCGTGGAGGGATAGATACGGTCGGCAAAGGGAGAAGAAGGTCCGATTGAGGTCGATAGGGAGAACGAAAGGAGGATTGAGAGAAGTTGAGCGAATTGAGGTGGGAGGGGGGGAGGGGGAAAAGAAGATGAGGGAAGAGAAAGGATTAATTGGGAGGAGAGTTGTTAAGAAGAGGGAGAAGATGGAGCGGGCG